GGTCTGTTTGAAAGTTGCATTTAGAGTGGGCTAAGGGATAGGGGTCTGTGAAGCCCCAGTGGCCGGGGTTGGCGGGGGCGGGGGGAGGCTGTCAGGTTCACAGCGTCAGCCTCCTGTAGATGTAAAGAAGTAGCCTGTGCTCAGCTGGGAGACAGGGGTGTGAGGAGTGTCATCCTTTGTGCCCCGAAGGCTCTACTCTGGAGGAAGGTGGGTCCAGGAGGGGCACGGAGCGGGCCTAGTGAGAAGGGTGCCAGAACGGAGGCCTCGCATGAGGGAGCATGATCAGATCAGATCCTGTAGGCCCAGGAGAAGTAGAAGTCGATGAAGGGCTTTGGTCAGGGAAGTGGCCCAATCCCGGGGAGCCTGGGTGGCTCTGTCGGTTGAGCATTGACTCTTGATTTCAGCTCATGATCTCATAGTTGCTGAGATCAAATCCTATGTCAGGCTCTGCACTGACAGTGCGGATTCTGCTTGGGATTCTCTCTCTCTCCCTCTCTCTCCCCCCCCCCCTCTGTTCTCCCATGTGTATGCTCTCTCTCAATCTCTCTCTCTCTCAAAATAAATAAATAAACATTTAAAAAAAGAAGAGGTGACCCAATCTGGCTATTCTTTGACAAAAGCACTAGCCTCCCTTATGGGGTGTGGGCTCCTGATGAGGGGGAAGCTGACAGGTTAAATAATTAGGTAACAGATGGTGATAGTGGCATCATCGTGGAGACGGTGAAGGAGGTGAGGAGTGGTTAGGTCCTGCTTACATTTGAAAGTTCACAGTCAATAAAATGTGCTCATGGATTAGCCGTGAGGGGTGAAAGAAGCAAGGTGGGTCCAGGGTCTGAGTATCCTGGCCGAACAGCTGGAAGAAGGGACCGCCAGGAGTCGTGAACACCCCCCAAGCAGCGGGCTTGTGAGTTGAGACCCCCCACCTTTGGCACAGGTTACAGGGGAAATGTTCTTCAGGCCCCAGGCACAGGTGTGCAGTGGCCATGGACACAGGGGCTCACATGGCAGGTGAGGGCAGGAGGGCTGAGCTGGAGTGAGGACGTTGCTGACATTTCTACGGCCATGACATTCGCAGGGACCCACCAGCCCTGGAGTGTGAGGATGAATAGGAGATGGCCAAGCCCTCTGGGGCTGGGAGAAACCAGCAAAGGACAATGAGGAGAGGTCAGGGGTACTACGAGAAGAAACCAAGAGAGAGTGTTGTGTTGAAGGGCTATTGAACAGTGTTTTCAATGCTGAAGACGGGTTCGGGGGTAAGGACAGTGTAGGAGTGTAGGAGTCCTGATGGCTTGGGCAACTGACCCTGCCAGGGGCCCCGCTCAGCAAAACCTGTAAGGAGTGAGGTCCTCACAAGTGAACGTGTGAAAAGTAGGCTCCTTAGGCCCGCAGTGGTAAGTCCTGTCTAGCAGAAAACAATTTCTTTCTTCTTCCCTAGAATGTATGTAAACGTCTTGATAATCTCTCCCATTTTCCCGTTCTGCCCTCAATTGTTCTATCTCCTTGAGAGGGTTCCTATCAGAGATGGTGGGATTTGTTCATGTGCTTGCTCCCCCCCCAACAGGAAAAGTTATCCTGCTTCCTCAGTCCCCAGGTACAGGCAGCTATGCCATTATCAACACTTGCTTGCTTTAATACTGAAGATCGAGTGGTTTGTCTCTTTCAGTGTTCTGCCCGCCAAAGTAGCTGAATAGTGCATTTTATTTTATTTTTTTTTATACTTCTGCTTTCTTGTCTTTTAGTTTCATTACTGAAAATGGGACTCATGCCCAGAAATTCTCCCAAAAAAACCTGGCTTTTAAATATAATATTTAACTGGTAACTACAGACTCTGTAGATATAAATACAGTTACCTAATGGGGTTAAGTGACTTTTGAAAATACCACCTTCTTGGGGCGCCTGGGTGGCCCAGTTGGTTAGGCGTCCGACTTCAGCTAAGGTCATGATCTCACGGTTCGGGAGTTCAAGCCCCGCATCAGGGTCTGTGCTGACAGCTCAGGGCCTGGAGCCTGCTTCTGATTCTTTGTCTACCCCCCTCAGCTCTTCCCCTGCTCACACTCTGTCTCTCTCTCTCAAAATAAATAAAGATTAAAACAAATTAAAAAAAAAAAAAAAAGAAGAAGAAGAACTGTTAAAATACCACCTTCTTTCACCTGACCTGCTTTTTGCACTTGTCTTCTCATTGATGAGTGGTTACCGGGGATCAGAACAAGTCAGATTTTTGAGACTTCCTATTTATATTGTACAGAAGAAGGAAGGATTGGATGACAGGTTTGATGCATGGTGTCACTGAAGAGTAAAATGTAATGGTATTAATTTGTGTTAAGTGCCATATTTTAACTCTAATTAATCTGGAGTATCTACGTTATTAATATTCTTTCCTGCCACTAATTTCTCCCATCAGTCTTACATTGGGATGTTCATTTGCATCCTCTGAATTGGAGAAAGGTGGTGAATTTCCCTGAGTAGCCTCTCATAAATCAGGAGACTCGAGTTTTGGATGCTTTCCTGCCTGGTATTTACATGTGATGTGGCCTTGAACTTAAAACTAACCTTTTTACTTCTCCATCAGCACAAATGTATATGTTCTCACATTTAGAGAGGGGTATACAAAATAGGACAGAGATTAGGAATGTGGACTTTGGACACAGATGCCTGGTTAGCACACCTGACACAATATATGACAGCCATCCAAAAATATCACCCATATTAACAGCAAACTAACGTGAGGGTTAAAACGGGGCTTTTGCATGTTATTTTTAAAGACATGCAGAATTTGATTGTGCCCAGAGATCTAATTTGAGTTTCATTTCCTTTTCATTGGACCACTTTGTTTTCATCATGCAAATAATACATGTTCTTCCTGGCGTCACAGCTGGCAGTAAAAATTAACAACCTATGAGCTGAATGTAAAACATAAGCTTCTTTCACTGTTATAAAATTAGGCTTTTTGTTTTCCCCTCACCATCCATAAATGGTGTGTTTGTGTGTGTTTATCGTGGGGGAGGGAATACATTATAGAGTTTGTGACTTTTCGTAGCACTGCTGGCATGCCCAGGATGTGGCATCATGGCTTTTGGAATAATTAGATGCAAAATAAAGGGAGAGAGAAAGGTCCTGCTCACAATGACTTGCGTCTATGAACTGTTCCCGCTTTAATCAGATCACAGTTGCTGGGTCGGAAGCCTGTAAGGACCAATTAGCTTCGTCCAGTGTAAAAGTGATGTTTTCTAGTCAGAGTCTGTCCCTCTCACCCTGATTGGCTGTGTCCAAAAAGCCTGCTGTGTGTCACAGAGGGAACTCCTGAAGAGCATCTGTGGCTCAGCGCAAATTAATGACAGCTGCTGGACACAGAAAGAGCAGTCCATACTGAT